AGAGAGAGAGAGAGAGAGAGAGAGAGAGAGAGAGAGAGAGAGAGAGAGAGAGAGAGAGAGAGAGAGAGAGAGATGGTCAACTGCATCACCAGCCTCAGGAGTACAGAAGGCCTCCAATGGCCAGCCAGCACATGAAGTGAATGTGTACCCGCAGAGTCTGTGCAGACTCCTCGAAGCCATCGTGGAAGCTGCGGGGCTTGGGAATAACACGGAAAGAACATGAATGTTTTTCCCTTTTTTTTTCTTTTTGAAAGACTACAAGAGCTGAGGGGAAAAAAAAAAAAAAAAAAAAAACAAGAAAAAGAAGAGTTGAGAAAATAGAACCCTGGGGTCTGGTCCCACCTGTGTTGTTGAGAAAACTCTACGCGGAGTTTTCTACGACGAGCGACAACGTTCAACAGGATGTGGCCGTCGACAGGGGTGCGATCCCACGGTTGGAAGTATTTCGAAATGTTGATGTCCTACCGGGTGATTTGAATGAATTTTTTTTTTGTATAAGGACTTCGAATTGACTCCCGCAATGGAGGGAAGGTGGCATGGGCAAGTGCCACGGAGTTGAGAAAGCTACCCTCCACGGTCGAGGGTAGGTTTCTCAACATGGTCGATGAGAAATTTTGCAACTTTTGGGATTTTTAGTCGACGTCTGCTGTTCCCCGTTTCTCGTATACTGTGTCAGGCACTTCGTCAGTGCAATGAAAGCCGTAACTGTCGTGCGTGGGCTCTATAAGGCCTCGCTCCGTTGCTCACCACATGCACAAACAAAAGAAAAAAGAAAGTAGATGTATGTTTCCGTGTTCTTGCCTATATTCATTGCTCTTTGGACCCACTTCGACGTCCTCGTGTTTCCACATCATGGGGCCTCGCTGCACTACTCTCTACATGCACAAAAGACAAAAATCATGGCAGTGCATCTTTCCATATTCTAGGGGAAGATTCACTCTCGTTTTGCACATTTCGAGAGTAGTGCAGCGAGGCCCATATGGCACTTCAAGATACGCAGAATCCTCGACAGAAACCACTATTTTCGCATCATTTTCTTAAAATGAATAAAAACTGCTGGCACTTCAAGATACGCAGAATCCTCGACAGAAACCACTATTTTCGCATCATTTTCTTAAAATGAATAAAAACTGCTACGAATAAATCTGAAATGCATTTTTGGGATTTAAAAAATGCGGTAAATGGTGTCACACCGTTGAGGTTTCTCAACTCAACGGCCGTAGGTGGGACCAGACCCCTGGAAAATAGATAGGCCTTCCATTTCATGCAGGAAACAAGACCACCTTTTTTCTTTTTTTTTGGTAGGACACAAGACGTTATTTAATCTAGTTGGGTAAAAAAAACTTCAGAAAAAGAAAAATGCCTTTCAGAGAACTGTCAATTAGCAAGAAGAGACCTCTGACACACAGAGACCAAATATGTGGAAAAAAAAAAAAAAAAAAAAAAAAATTCCCAGCTCCCTTTCGAGTATCACATAGTACTTGCCAAGCAAGCCTTCGGCAAATCTGTACCGGCTTTTTGAAAAAAATAAAAAATAAAAATCTTTATCGGTCCTATCGGCAGCCTAAATCATATTTACATCTTATATCCTCCGAGAGTCGTAAAGGTCCTTCACAGCATGAGAAGGTCGCAAGACAAGGCCACAAAAAATAACATGCGTGCCACATACGCCGACAACGACTTTGCCTACTCGCATAAACCACGCAGTTACCGGACTTCAAATCCGCTCTCAATCAGTGCACGACGAGCCAGTTCATACACTGTACAAGTATTCTGGCTCCGGCCCTCCGGCCATGCAACAAACTTTCTTCTTTTCGCCCGCTTTCTTCTTTCCTCCGCCCGCTCCAAGCCGCTATACGAAAGTCTTGCTTCTTTCACAGTACCCAGAGTTCAGTTCTCTCTCTCGATTTGTCGCTTTGTCATGGAGAAAGGGAGGAAGGGAGTCATCACCGACAAGAGAGCGGGACGGTTGCCGAGGGACCAAAGTCTCTGCACCATTCCGGCAGGTCTGTAGCCCTTCAAAATTCAACAGAATTCCTACTTTCCTACCAAGCCACTGTACTGAATGATTCTCTCTTTATCTTGGAGGGAAGCGCGGAGGTGTAATCACTGAGAAGAGAGAAGGACGGTCACTTGGAGACCAATGTCCGCCGAGCAGGCTAGAAGCTCTTCTACATGCAACAGACCCTTCTTCTTGCTCATCTCTCTCTCTCTCTCTCTCTCTCTCTCTCTCTCTCTCTCTCTCTCTCTCTCTCTCTCTCTCTCTCTCTCTCT